AAAATCTATTCACTAGGTAAAGGAACTCTTCCCTCTCTGTCCCAGAGTGCTCACCTTGTCAATTCTCACACAAAGCCTACCCCTCATCCTAAATGTGCCATCAGACATCAATATGGTTTCAGATCCCCTAGCCTGCCCTCCCTCACCCCACCACCTTAACAACAACTGATATGACGAACCAAAAATAGACAAAGACAGAGATAGCAGACACCCCCACAAAAACCTCTAGTCACTTGTGTCCAAATTGTGGCTCCACTTGCCCTGACCTGACCCTTAACAACAATGAAACTCACTGAGAAAAGGGATTTTTTAAAATCTCTTGCTTTCCCCAGCATGACATTGATTACTTTGATAATCATCAAACAGGGAAATCTTCAACCGGAACATTTTTTTTCATTCCATTAGGTTTGTAGAATGGGGCAATATACCTATACTTGTGGTCCCAAAGCAGCCCAGCTACATGGCTGTCAGACCCTTGACCAACTCCATCCTAATTTGCACTTATTTCCCATTTGCCCTGTGAGAATCTTGTGGTCCTCAAGGTTTGGAAAGGGCTGTTTTCAGCACGCAACCCAAACTGTAAAATAAGCATTCCCTCCCTCCACCGAGGTCACACAGTGCTAGCATCATGATGCACTGCAGCAACTCACCAAGGCTCCTTCAGCAGCATCTTACAAACCCCGCAAACTAACAACAACGAAAGGGGCAGCAGATGTATGGGAAAACTACCACCTACCAATTATCCCCTAAGTCACAAACTAACTGCACTTGGATATATATCATGTTGTGTTTAGTATTTCAATTTTTTTAAAAAAATCATTTAATCACAGAATCTGGGTGTCCCTGGCCAGGCCAGCATTTATTGTTCATCCCTAATTGTCCTTGAGAAGGTGGTGGTGAGCCAGAACTTGAACACTGCAGTTCATATTGTATGGTACATGCACAGTGTGGTTAGGAAGGGAACTCCAGGATTTTTATCCAGCTACAACCATTGGATAATTTTATAGTTCCAAGTGCAGTTAGTTTGTGACTTAGGGGATAATTGGTAGGTGGTAGTTTTCCCATACATCTACTGCCCCTTTCGTTGTTGCTAGTTTGCGGGGTTTGTAAGATGCTGCTGAAGGAGCCTTGGTGAGTTGCTGCAGTGCATCATGATGCTAGCACTGTGTGACCTCGGTGGAGGGAGTATATATATAAGTTAACAGGGAGAAGGATTAAAGGTTACTGTGAAATCAGGTACGACATATTAAGGAACTAAACAACTCAAGTAGACAAATAATTGGGATGCTTCCATTAAAAGCTACATTGTTTAGTTCCAGTTTTCAATAATAATCAACACCAACAAGCACCAATTTACAAGGAATA